CTGCTCAGCGTGGTCATAGGTGTACTGAAGGCTATTAGGGGGACGCTGTCTATAATGCTGAGGGGGGCTCGCCTGTGCAACGTTGGTGGGGTTGTGCTGAGGTCTATTAGGGGGGCGCTGTCCAGGCCGTTGAGGGCGGCGCCGAGCGGGCGAACGCCTCGCAGGAGGAACCTCATCCTGGCAGTGCAACACTGTGTGGTGTTGGTAGCTACCACAATGCTGACATGCTCCACTGCTTCGGCACTCGACCTCAAAGTGCGGACCCAGACAGCGACAGCAGCGGTCGCTGGCTTCAATGAAGTCTCAACGACCCTGATCTGGTAGATTAAGGAATTCAGAACATGACATCAACCTGTGACCTGTGGTCTCGCAGTATGGGCAGTAATTAAATCTAAGGGAAGGGGAGCGGCGCACAGGGGCAAAATTGACTGGTACGGGAGACCTGGACCCCGGTGTGGAGTGGTATGCGGGGCGTAAGACTTGAGGTTCTGGCTGACGAGCATGGCTGGAACGCATGGGCTGAGATATGGGTCGGAACGTCTGGTACGGGGGGTGACGTGAACGAGTGGGTTGGGCGGGGACGTAACGTTGGTATTGAGGGGACTGCGCAGGCGCTGGTGCTGATCTTTCGTTCTCCACACAGCGAGCGTACTCCTCCAAGAACGAGACCAGATCAATAAATGTGGGGAGCGCCTGACAGGAACCATGTTTTCGCTCGAAGAACGTACGGAGCTCGCCCTTCATTTTGCGAACAAGAATCGACACAAAAATATAATCACTGTTATTCATTGGGAGGGCCAAGTTTTTTAGGTTAGACAGTGCTGACACCAGGGGGGTGAGGAAGGATCGTCGGATCTCAGAGCGGGCGTTTATGGTGGGCAACCCTAATATGATGTCTACAAACCTATCGATGAGTACCCTCCGGTTTTCAAACCGCTTGGTCAAGATGTCCAAGGTTACCGGGTAATTCTCATCCACCATACTAAGTGCCTCACCAGAAAGGGAAGACAACAAGTAGTGGAGCTTGACCGCATCTGTGAGTGTCGCCATGTCGTCAGTCAGACTTTTGAAAATGGCAATGAAGGACGGCCAATCCTCCACTAGCGAGCTGAACTTAGGTAACTCAATCTTAGGCAGGACCATCGCTGGTGCACAAGGCTTGGATGAGGTTTGGGCTGATGTAGAAGCCACAGCCCGAAGTTTATATTCGATGACCAAGATACGTGTATAGTAATCGGTGGCCTCGGTGTGTTTCTTTGTATAATCCTTTTCCTGCTCGTCGGTGAGATCAGTTGATTCGAGGATATCCTTGAAGGCAGTGTCCAGTTTGTCCTTATAAATATCTAGTTTTGGGAAGCGAGCGTGAAACTCGTCTGGTGAGCCCTTGGGCTCTGGGCTGACCAGGTCTTCCCCGATCCGAAGTAAGGTCACTATTCCCCTAACGGCCTCTCGGAAGACGGCAGTGGTAGATTTGGTAGGCATTATTAAGGGAGGCGCTGACTAAGTTCAAAGAAAAAAAAAAAAAAAAAAAAAAAAAAGTAATGGTATGTGAATAAAATAAGTATCACACTGTATCCAGTTCTCACCCTTTATAAGTGGTAAGATAAGATATCGTATTGTATTCGAAAACGAAGAGGAAAAAAAAAAAACTATAAATTGAAAAATGTTTTACTTAGTTAAATATTAAGATCTTCGCTATTATCTAAATATTCAGGCAATAACGAATCCAGGGCACCCACCAGCGCTAAATTTCGTTTATGAATGGGCAAACGGAATAACCGGGGCCTATCACTGCCATTTCAATATCGGTATTCCAGAATCGCATCCTCCAAAGCGCTCCTTATCCTATCATTGTATTGGGTACTTACGGATATAACTTCACTCTCCACTAGTTCATCAATATCATCAGTATATGATGCCAACTGAGGTGTGCTGTTGGCTACCGAATCCACAGTGTGTGACGAAGAAGGGATAATTAACCTATTCCGTATGTCAGAGCGTATCCTCTCAAGTACTGCATCATTCAGCAGATGACAGCGCTGTATAGCTCGTACTTGATCCGACAATCGTTGTGCTAATACGTTGACAGCTGGTTCAAGCTCCTGAAACAATGAGACTAGTCGAACACGGTACGCAGTAAGGTTCGTTCCCACCTCTGTAGCCCGATAATATGCCCGCATGACATTTTCATTATTATTATTATTATTAATAACTGTATTATACATGTGTATTATGCTTTGTCTTTTATTTTATACGTTTCCACAATATTTACTGGATTAAAATAATGACAAAGATATTCATCAATCATCAACAGCCTATACTAGTCCACTGCTGGACATAGGCCTCTCCTTAGAAAGGAGGTTTTGGCCTACTTTACCACGCTGGCCAGACGGGTTGGTATAGGGTTTGTTTCAAGTCCTCCAAGGAAGGAGGTCTACTGGTGGTCCCAGGAGCTGGCGGACCTCCGTGCGGCCTGTACACGTGCCCGTAGGTCCTACACGCGCAGTCGGCGGCGTCACCGTGGAGACGGTGAGGAGGACCGGCTTCATGAGGAGTACCGACAGGCGCGGAAAACTCTGAAGCCGGCCATTAGCCGCGCCAAGGAAGAAAAAAGAGAGGAGATGCTGGAGGGTCTTAATCGTGACCCCTGGGGTCGCCCTTACCGCGCGGTGCGGTGGAAAAGATTCAAAGGTAGGGGCGGCTGTTCTACGGATCCGTTCCAAGAACACCGCCCCTGGGCCAGACGGGGTACCGGCCCGAGTGCTGGCCCTAGCCCTCAACCACATGGCAGACCGCCTCGGGGAGGTGTTCGACGCTAGCTTGGCGTCGGGACGTTTCCCTGAGTGCTGGAAGAGCGGGAAGCTGGCCCTATTAAGGAAGCCGGGACGGCCTGCCGATTCGGTCGCGGGCTACAGGCGGGCAGGCCGTGAGCTGTGGCGGCGTGCTGTTGGCGGTGTCATTGGACATCGCCAACGCATTCAATAGTCTGCCATTCAGCTGCATCAGGAAAGCACTCCACTATCATGGGGTGCCAAAGTACCTGAGGCGGCTGGTGGCAGACTATTTAGAGGAGCGTACCGTCGTGTAGGAGGACCGAGAGGGTAATTCGAGGTGTCGGCCCATGTCGTGCGGTGTTCCACAGGGGTCTGTTCTTGGACCCATCTTGTGGAACATAGGTTACGACTAGGCCCTTCGAGCCGATTTCCTCCCGGGCTGAGTGTAATTTGTTACGCAGACGATACTCTGGTGACAGCCCGGGGGGCGAACTTCCAAGAGGCGGCGCGCCTGGCCACAAGGGGAGTCTCCCTGGTGGGCAGGCGCATTGAGGCGCTGGTCTTACGGGTGGCCCTAGATAAGACGGAGGCCCTGTTATTTCATGGGCCCCGTCGTGATCCACCCCCTGGCGCCTCAATCGTGGTCAACTCGGTCCTCGTACCGGTTCGGGCCCAGATGAAATATCTGGGCCTGATCCTCGACGGGAGGTGGCTCTTCGACGAGCACTTCCGACAGCTTGCTCCAAAGCTGGTCGGTGCTGCGTCTGCCCTAGGGCGACTTTTGCCCAATTTGGGTGGACCCAGCGTCGCGACAAGACGGCTGTACACGGGGGTTGTCCGGTCAATGGCACTATACGGTGCACCGGTGTGGGCGGCGGCTCTGAGCGCCCAGAATAGGGCACGCCTCTGGCGCCCTCAGAGGGTAATGGCGGTCAGAGCCATACGCGGTAATCGCACCGTTTCGACGGAGGTGGCGTGCGCGTTGGCCGGAACTCCCCCGTGGGATTTGGAGGCGGAAGTGCTCGCCGAAGTGTGTCGTTATCGGCGAGTGGCTGACTCCCGGGCGGAGAGCGGATTTCGCCCTCCGCCCGAAGACGTGCGCGAGTGGCGCGAAGCCGCTCGCCGAGCTACGATGGCTCGTTGGTCGTTCCGGCTGGAGACTCCACGCGCTGGCTTTGCCGCCGTGGAGGCTCTCCAGCCGGTCATCGCCGAGTGGGCAGGGCGGCAGCACGGGACCCTTACCTACCGGCTGACGCGGGTGATTTCCGGGCACGGTTGCTTCGGAAAGTACCTGCACTCGGTCGCTAGGAGGGAACTGAGTCCCGCCTGCCACTACTGCGACTGCAGTGAGGACTCGGCCCAGCACACGCTGGCGGTCTGCCCCGCATGGGCGACGCAGCACCGGGCCCTCACTGCAGTCATCGTAGTGGATCTCTCGCTACCGGCCGTAGTACGCTCCATGGCCGGTAGCGACAGTTGTTTTACCGCGGTCGCAACCTTCTGCGGGGAAGTAATCTCGCAGAAGGAGGCGGCGGAGAAGGCCCGGGAGGACGACCTCCAGTTGGACCCGATCCGCCGTCGGCGAACCGGGAGGCGCGCCTATCACCCCCTCATGCTGCCCTGAGTGTGGCCTCGGGTGGACGGGGTGGGTTTCCCCTCCACCCGCATTAGTTTGGCCAGCCGCGAGGGGGCGGCGTCCGCGTGTGTCGCCTAAAGAGAGGAAAATTTTGAGACGGGGCCCGCAACAGGAGCGGGCCGGCGCTAGGAGGGGTCCGGATGTCTTAATAACAGCTGTTCTCGGATCCCTCCTATTACAGGCGCAGAGTGGCACACCGTGTGGTTTTAGTCGGTCCGAGGGGATTTCCACACGTTAAAAAAAAAAAAAAAGAAAAAGGGTTTGTTTCAAGTTTTCCTTCTCTTTGCAGTGCTGTTGCCCTGCTTAGTTTGCTCCCTTAATTTTTTTATTAAAGTAACTTTTTTGTTATTGTATATGAAACATTTTTTAAGTGTAATTGCCAGTTTCAAAAAAAGTCTCTTGCATAAAAAGTTATTTTAAAATTGTTTATGTTTTTGGAGTCTATAAAAACCAAAATATAGACACGTTTTCCTAACAACCTGTATATTGGCATATTAACGAGAACTACATATATCATGTGTAATTGAGCTGACATTATTCACTTCTCAGATAACCTAGCAGAGACAAGTTGTCCATACACACTCGTAAACATGAAATTATTATTGATCTTGTGTTTCTTTGCATTCGCCACGTTTTGCTTTGCTTATCCTCAGCAATATTCGCGAGGTTGCATCTACGTTGAAGGAAGATGTACGTATAAATCATTATTTTAATGTGTTACACTAATCGTTGATGTTTCTGTCCCGTGACTTCTTTAAACACTGGACGGACTTATGTACCCTAACTCTCTCGCCCGTTTCCTCATCCGAGACTTACTGCCCTACTATCCATTATAGGTTATTGCTCTATATCGACGACCTGATGGCGTAGTGGGTTCTGTTACGGACTGCTATTCCAAAGGTCGCGGTTTCGATTCCCGCTTAAGTCAAACATTTGTGTGCATGAACATTAATTGATTGATTTGGTCTGGGTGTTTCTATCTATGTATTTACAAAAAAAAATGTATACAAGTATTTATATCAGTTTTCTAGTACCCATAGTACAAGCTCTGCTTAGTTTAGGATTAGATGGCGTTGTTTGAATATAACATAATATTATTATTATTTATTTCACTTACCCCAATTTACTCGCCATCTTTGTCAGTTCTGACAACGAATACATACAAAAAAACATGCGCGTCACGCAAGCAGAAGGCTTTTAACGGGTTTCGCAACGAAAACCAGTATTGTTTCAGGACTCCCGCCTTAGAACAGAATCATGCTGAGTATGTACAACTGCCACAGTCATAAATATTTTACCTTTCTTTCTTTTAAAAAAAGAAACCAACTAAAATCGTTGCGCAGACCCATTGCGCAGACTCCAAATAGAATTAGGTTTTTAAACTTACACGAATCAACTTAACGTTAACAAAAACGGACAGATCAATATGTAACTACATGTTTATATTACTAATTAGATATGAGAATATTCCTCACGCACGTGCCACCTCCGACTCTATTTTACGTAGGGGGTGTGTTTCTTAGGGCAATAGGGAATTTGCATAAAATTTTTAACATTTTGTAAGAAAGTTTTTAACTTCTTCCATGATTTGTATATAAATTAAAACTCAAAATAAGTATGAAGTAACTGAAACGCTATAGTAAACAAACACGGGACACAACCAATGACACCATCACAAGCGCGCTCTAAATTGTGGCGTTTGAACGGCTCAAATTTATTCAATGTCTTAAATTTCACTTTGAAAAATTATTTGACTATTTTCAAGACTATTTATCTTTTTTTCCCTGTTATAAAGATGTAAATGATTAATTTAAGCAATAAAAAAATTCATGCATATATTATATGATGTAATTCTTCCATACAATATCATCGTATTTTATTTATGAACATCGTTACCAGTGGCCATATTCCCCATTCAAGATTTATGATATATCTTAAACTAAGTCCTTGGGCCTGTCCATTTATCTTACCCATTTTATTTTTGTTTTGTCTCTTCCGAAAATGATAACTGTTCAAGAAGGTTGGCATCTGCTTCAAACTCAAAAGTCACAAGTTACCAACCCTTCTCCCCCCCAACCGAAGGCGAAGGGGGGTTTAGGCTCCGGTCACTTCATTCACTCAGTGAAAAGCAGCCGAAGGATAGCCCTCCCACGAAACTATTAAGCAACAATCATCTTTAGATCTATCCTCACACACTTTCGCCTTCATAATTTTAGTTTTTATCACTGGGATATGATAACTGCCATCAAACAGTACAATAAAACTTAATAAAGAATTTCTTGCTTCTAGGCTACGAAGGATGCGAAGAAGGAACCCATGGTTACACACCAGGATGTGGTCCTATAATTCCAGAAGCGACTTGTGACGAGCCACATCCTAAGATCGGTGATGGTGCCGTATGCGACTACTCTAGTTGCTACTGCGACTCCCCCACCGTCAGAGATACAGTTAGCGGAAAATGTGTGGCACTTGACAAATGCCCTAAAAAATTGCCCAAACAAGAGTAGGCATTCATTTTTTTTTCAAAATGTGATGAAATAATTAAATACTCATTTGTGACATACAAAATACTTTTTTATTTTATAAAATAGATTTGACTAAATATTGTTATATTTATCAGAATTTGTAAAGTTTATTAAAGTAATTATTGTTATTTGGAATAAATTCTTTCTTCAACAAGTTTTTTGAATAACTTAATGGTTTAAAAATATTTTAAATGGCAGATGTTGAAATCTGGACACTCAAATTATTTTTGATGCAAAAGCAGATGACTATCTGTTATACAATTTCATCGTAAGTATTTTTTTAATAGCGGCCACTACCTACCCTAAACTCCTTCGGCCTGTCCATTTTTCTGATAACTGTTCAAAGATGTCAGCTTCTAACAGCCATAAAAAACCACCAAATTATTTGATTTTTTTCTCAATAATTTTCTTGGATAAGTAGAAACCTATGTGTTTTTCCAGACTATAAACTGTTCCAAATTTTATCCAAATCCAGAGCTGTTTAGTAGGATTTATGAATAATAAATATGTCATAAGTTAAGACCTTATTTATTTCTCTAATATCAGTATACCTATCACCAGTTCAAAATGAATCCAGTCCATCCAAAGGTTGCCTGGAAGAAATTGCACTAAGCGATAAGCCCGCCCTTTGTACATTACATCTGTTGTTAATTACTTTATTATGTCTGTAAAACCCTGGTGTACAAATAAAGTATTTATGTATCTGTCTATTGTCCGTGTGGTGACGGATTAAGAATGCGGATTGTCACGACCCCTTTTCATCTTGGGGTGTCGTAAGAGCCGACTAAGGGAGCAAACTACACAAGACAACATCACTGCAAAGAGAAGGAAAACCTGAAACAAACCTTTTTTTTTTTTTTTTTTTTTTTTTTTTTAACGTGTGGAAATCCCCTCGGACCGTCACCCCTCCGGGGTTTGCGGCGGGGTGGTGTGTCGGACTCGGACCGACTAAAACCACACGGTGTGCCACTCTGCGCCTGTAACAGGAGGGATCCGGGAACAGCTGTTGTTAAGACATCCGGACCCCTCCTAGCGCCAGCCCGCTCCTGGTGCGGGCTCCGTCTCAATACATTTTCCTCTCTTTAGGCGACGTCCGGCACACGCGGACGCCGCCCCCTCGCGGCTGGCCAACTAATGCGGGTGGAGGGGAAACCCACCCCGTCCACCCGCGGCCACACTCAGGGCGGCATGAGGCTGTGGTAGGCGGGCCTCCGCCGCCCGGTTCGCCGGCGGCGGATCGGGTCCGAGTGGAGGTCGTCCTCCCGGGCCCTCTCCGCCGCCTCCTTCCGCGAGATTACTACCTCGCAGAAGGTTGCGACCGCGGTAAAACAACTGTCGCTACCGGCCATGGAGCGTACTACGGCCGGTAGCGAGAGATCCACTCCGATGACTGCAGTGAGGGCCCGGCGCTGCGCCGCCCATGCGGGGCAGACCGCCAGCGTGTGCTGGGCCGAGTCCTCACTGCAGTCGCAGTGGTGGCAGGCGGGACTCAGTTCCCTCCTAGCGACCGTGTGCAGGTACTTTCCGAAGCAACCATGCCCGGAAAGCACCTGCGTCAGCCGGAAGGAAAGGGTCCCGTGCTGCCGCCCTGCCCACTCGGCGATGACCGGCTGGAGAGCCTCCACGGCGGCGAAGCCAGCGCGTGGAGTCTCCAGCCGGAACGACCAACGAGCCATCGTGGCTCGGCGAGCGGCTTCGCGCCACTCGCGCACATCCTCGGGCGGAGGGCGAAATCCGCTCTCCGCCCGGAAGTCAGCCACTCGCCGATAAACTTCGGCGAGCACTTCCGCCTCCAAATCCCACGGGGGAGTTCCGGCCAATGCGCACGCCACCTCCGTCGAAACGGTGCGGTAACCGCGTATGGCTCTGACCGCCATTACCCTCTGAGGGCGCCAGAGGCGTACCCTATTCTGGGCGGTCAGAGCCGCCGCCCACACCGGTGCACCGTACAGTGCCATTGACCGGACAACCCCCGTGTACAGCCGTCTTGTCGCGACGCTGGGTCCACCCATATTGGGCAAAAGTCGCCCTAGGGCAGACGCAGCGCCGACCAGCTTTGGAGCAAGCTGTCGGAAGTGCTCGTCGAAGAGCCACCTCCCGTCGAGGATCAGGCCCAGATATTTCATCTGGGCCCGAACCGGTACGAGGACCGAGTTGACCACTATTGAGGCGCCAGGGGGTGGACCACGACGGGGCCCATGGAATAACAGGGCCTCCGTCTTATCTAGGGCCACCCGTAAGCCCAGCGCCTCAATGCGCCCGACCACCAGGGAGACTCCCCCTGTGGCCAGGCTCGCCGCCTCTTGGAAGTTTGCCCCCCGGGCTGTCACGAGGGTATCGTCTGCGTAACAGATTACACCCAGCCCGGGGGGGAAATCGGCGCGAAGGGCCCAGTCGTACCCTATGTTCCACAAGAGGGGTCCAAGAACAGACCCCTGTGGAACACCGCACGACATGGGCCGACACCTCAGATTACCTTCTCGGTCCTCGTACACGACGGTACGCTCCTCTAAATAGTCTGCCACCAGCCGCCTCAGGTACTTTGGCACCCCATGATAGTGGAGTGCTTCCCTGATGCAGCTGAATGGCAGACTATTGAATGCGTTGGCGATGTCTAATGACACCGCCAACAGCACGCCGCCACAGCTCACGGCCTCTTCGGTCACGGCCCTCAGGCGCAACACGGCGTCGACTGTCGAACGCCCCGCCCGAAAACCAAATTGGGCGTCCGACAGATCGGGGCCCACCTCGCAGAGGTGCCGGACGATGCGGGCAGAAAGAACCCTCTCAAACAATTTGCCCGCCTCGTCCAGCAGCACGATGGGCCTATAGGCCGCGACCGAATCGGCAGGCCGTCCCGGCTTCGTCAATAGGACCAGCTTCCCGCTCTTCCAGCACTCAGGGAAGCGTCCCGACGCCAAGCTAGCGTCGAACACCTCCCCGAGGCGGTCTGCCATGTGGTTGAGGGCCAGGGCCAGCACTCGGGCCGGTACCCCGTCTGGCCCAGGGGCGGTGTTCTTGGAACGGATCCGTAGAACAGCCGCCCCTACCTCCGATTCCCGGACGGGCGGAACATTGTCCTCCCCGTGCTCCCCGTCGTCTCCGGCCAGGGAGGCCATCGACGGGGGAGTGTGTTCCGCCCGTTGTGGGAAAAGGCCCTCAACCACTTCTCGCAGGAAGCTGGGCTGGAGAGTCTCCGTAAGGGGGGGGCCCGACGCGCGGAGCTTTTGTCGCACCGCGCGGTAAGGGCGACCCCAGGGGTCACGATTAAGACCCTCCAGCATCTCCTGTCTTTTTTCCTCTTTGGCGCGGCTAATGGCCAGCTTCAGAGTTTTCCGCGCCCGTCGGTACTCCTCATGAAGCCGGTCCTCCTCACCGTCTCCACGGTGACGCCGCCGACTGCGCGTGTAGGACCTCCGGGCACGTGTACAGGCCGCACGGAGGTCCGCCAGCTCCTGGGACCACCAGTAGACCTCCTTCCTTGGAGGCCGACGACCTCGAACGCGGGGCATGGCCGCATCGCATACATGCGTAATCGCATCGCGAAAGCGGCCAGCCCCCACGTCGACCTCCTCGGTCGGAGCCTGAGGAGACAGCCACGAGTGAATTATGGCTGCCTCCTCTAGTAGGTCCCGGTTCAGCCTGGCAACAGCCCACCGCGGAAAGCGGGATGAACGCCGCGCCACGTGACCCCTACTGGAGTCCTGGGTCCGGGAGAGCTCAAATCGGATATACAGGTGATCCGAGAGCGTCTCAACCTCTTCCAGGACACACCAGTTCCTTACTCGTGCGGCGAGGACAGGGGTAGCGAACGAAAGGTCCACTATCGACCCCCCCTGCTGTCGCACGCACGTGTTGGTGGAGCCTCTGTTTAGAAGACAGAGGCCCACCGAGGCCGCCCACTCCTCTACGGCCTCGCCCCTGGCGTCCGTCCTGGGGGAACCCCACGCAATGGACTTTGCGTTGAAGTCCCCCAGCACAAGGACGTGCCCAGACGCTAGTCGCCGTATCGAGGTCTCCAAGCTGGTTAGGAAAACCTCGAAGTCGTTCAAACTCCGGTTGGGGGAGAAATAGACACCATATATGGTGATCCCCCCCCACTCGACGGCAACATATCCAGTGCCCTTGTCTCTTAGCGACAAGGGCGGGGAATGAGCCGTCGTGGAACCGACGACTGCCACGGAGCCGTCCCAGTCACCCATCCAGTTTGGACGGGGAGGGACAGAATAGGGCTCCGCGACTACGGCAACACCTATCGACCACTGTGCCATGGTTTGCAGGAAGAGATCCTGCGCCGCGGCACAGTGGTTCAGGTTCGTCTGGACCAGGAGGTTGGAGACTTGATCCATTACTGGATCGTCTCTACAACCTCCTCCATGGGCGACGACGTCGACGCACGAACTATATCGGAGGCAGCCTGGGTCGACTGGCTAACCCCCGACGTCTGCCGAGAACTGCGGGGAGGCTTGCAGCCTCTCTGCCCCATCTGGTGATTGGCGGGCTTATTGCCCGCCGCACACACTGGGCAGTGAGGGGCGGCAGAGCATTCTGCCGCCTTATGCCCCGGTTGACCGCAGCGGAAACACAGTCCGCCGCAGTCAAAACAACTGTCGCACTTGACGCGCGTGTGTCCCGTGGCCAGGCATTTAAAACACCTCATCGGTCTCGCCGCCAGGACTGTGATCCTGGCGCTCACGAAACCGATGAGCAGCCTGCCGGCGTCGGCCAATACTTTGGCCGACGCTACGGGACAGCTGACCCACACGGCGCCAAGCCCTCCTGGACCGGGGCGGATGGTGCCGACCCTGACGTTGTCCGCGCTGCACCCCGTCTTCTCCCGGATTACAGCGCGGACATCTT